GACAACTTTTTCGCTAAGGAAAATGTTGTTTAAAATTACGTCAGGAACCTCCCATTTCAATATCTTACACTAGTTTTGGGTCACTCTGTATACGGTTTTTAATATTAATGGTATTGCTATCCACTGTTCCTTTAGATTTTACTAGCTCCTGTTATGGTATTATGTATCACGGTCAAGAGCATGTGATTCAGGTCGCGAATAACCAAACCATATGTCCCCGTCGTCGGTTCCGGATAGAAAAAGCAACGAGAATCTCTCGAAGAAATTCCGGGATGGAAGCGGCAACCGGCGGCGGCGGCGGCGGCGCGCCGTAAAACCGTATTACGTGGAACCGCGGAGGAAGAATACGAAGAATCGGAACAAAGGCGTGAACACGCGGTCATGTTTCTTCGTCATATCGTAAAAACACAGTAAAAAGGAGAACATCGGGTACGAGCATCCTGGCTTTTCCATTCCTGCCGAAACGAAAGAGGATTCGTTGCCAGACGATGAATCGGATCGCATCGAATTCGAATGGTACAAAGAATACTCGCGAGGCACGAGGGGTTTCGCTCATTGAAAAATCGAAGTCGATATAAATGAACGGACTATACTGACGTCAGGTAGAAAATATCAAACGTTTCATTAATTCATATGTATAAATCTTTCAATTTTTCCAAGATTTTGCGAAATTTTCGATTTTTGCCAATAACTTCCAACCCGTTGGATCTACGGGAAAATTGCATAAGACCTTTCTTGTAGAGGACNACCCTCCTCGGCTCCTATCCAAATTCTTATAAAACGAAACTCGGTGTCAATTGTGTGAGAATAAAAAGGCAACACGAAGCAATTCACCAGCTCGGTCGCCTCGTAACCCGTTTTTTCGTGGACTTGCACATCTGTCTGTCGCGTCACCAGCAAGTAGATATTTGTCAATGAGAACTGCTCTTATCGCTGTTATCCACGATGGAACGATGCCAAATCTCGATCCATCGAGTCAGAACGCGCTTGTACTAGTTATTCTATATCCGTATTTGTCACACGATAATTTGTCTACATTTCAGGCTAATAATTCGATTAAACAAAGCGAAGGGTTCGACATGATAATTAGTTGACCGCCGATCGGCACGAAAATAATTATCGCGATCGTTTCTGTAACCGATTAATAATAATCGGTCGACGTTTCCGACGAGCTTCCACGTGTCACAGCGATAACAATTGTCCCTAAGCCATTAAATCGTGTAATTGCGCTCGTTTCCCGACGGCCTCGAGCCGATCGGTGCTAGAATAATTAACGCCGAAGGAAATAAACGATGTTTCGATTTAATTAGACTCGGTTGAAAACCGGCCCAGACATTTGCGAAACGCAAACGGTCTCGTTTGATCATGTCGATTAATTAAAAATTCGCCTATTTCAGTCTCGTAATTTGTGCAATTTTTACCTCTACTTCAATCGGTTTAAAACTATACAACGGGAATAAGCGTATGAAAGCTGTAAGACGCAAATACGGGGCAACGTTGTTAAGAAACTTTGCTTGTACGGAATACGCAACATTGACAAAGGCGGAGCATGGCGCTGGCACGGAAAGTCTCGTAGCGCGGAAGCACGAGTCTATTTTCTATGCCGGCGCGCGGAGGGGGCCAAGAACTTTGCAAATAGTTTGTACAAGGCGCGGATTTCGAAACAACGCTGAACCAGAGCAGAGGGAGAGTTTCTATGGAAGTTGGATTACGTTTATGGCATTTCCCCTCTTTCGGAGTCTCGGTGGAAACAAAAATCAGCGCACGGTTTTGAAAATACGTCGCATTAAATAAGAAAACTCAACCCTAATAATAGTTCATGAGAAACGAGAACCAATCAGATTAAAAACCTAATCAATTTAACTTATTCATTTATTATGAATATTCTTTCACTTGAAATAATATTAATTTAAAACCTGCCTCAAAGGGTTAAAAAGTGGGATCTAAAATGGAGGCAAAAGTGAAACGCCATCGTTGAAGCCGGTCGACTATTCAGCAGCGACAAAATTGGAAACGCTTTGACACGTAAGTACCATTGGCGACAGAAAACAGCGAGAAAATGTCGGGTTTTCAATAGAGGGTTTGAATTGCAGAGCAGCGTGAAAGTTGGTGTATGGAAGAGCGGACTTACCCCGTTTGGATGCGTGAAAACTGTCCTGCGGCTTTATCTGCTCAATCTGTGCGCTGAGACGTGACTTGGGCAGTATGTCCCGGTTGTCGTTGATCTTTTCCACGGCATAGCGGAACGCCACTTCCTGTTTGTCGTCCGATGGATGAAACAGGCCACCTGGGAAATCACACATCCATATTAAAGCGTTACTTTGACGGCGAGAGGCTGAGCCGCGGTTATATTCCTTATTTTCCCTCATCCAACCGCGAGCATCGAGATTCTCTACTTTTATTTATCTATCCGCGAGCGACGGGCGGCTTGTCCCGCCTTCGGGGAAGTAATGGAATCTACAACTTCATCCCTTCGACTACCTACCGTCCTTGAGCTTCTTGCGCGACTGATATTAAATATTAAACCGCCCGATACTCCACTCGGTGCGAAAGATTTTGCACACTTCTAGCCGATTTTATTTTAGACTATCTACGAAGCAAACTGGAATATACAAAATGTCGCAGAAAAAATGTCGGAGTCAATGAAAGGTGATTCTATAGGTGATTCTGAACAATAGTTTCCTTTGGCAAAATGCAGAGCGACGCACGGTTTTTGAGTTATTAGCGAAAAACACTGACCAATGAGATCGCGCGTAGGGCCTGCGCTGACCAACGGCCGACTGCGGACACTCTATTGGCTAAGCGCGGCCTACGCGAGCTATCATTGGTCAGCGTTTTTCCTTAAAAATTCAAAAACCATGCTTTATTCTCCATTTTGCCAAAGGAAACTATTGTTCAGAAACACCTATAGAATCACCTCTCGTCGGCATTGTTCCAATAGATGCAAATAAAAAATTCAAATGTGGGAAGTATGAAACGAATTTCCCTCGAAGAATATCCATATTATTATTTAGTATTGCTAAAAGAAAATTAGAGGATAGTTGAACGAATCAATTTCGCAACGTAATTTCTGCTGTCGAACCGGCGATGCTGCTACCCAAGAAGAAGAAGAAGGAGGAGGAGGAGGAGGAGGAGGAGAAGTGCAGTAAATTCGAGTTGGCAACGAGAGAACGGTGTTAATATGCAATGGAGGTAAGGCGGCAGATAAAGCGAAAGTAGGGCAGAAAAATGCGTGGGATGAGAGAGAATAAGGCGGCGGATGAAAGGCAAGGAGCGGAGGGGAGAGTGGTTTAAAAATTTCAAGTGGCCAGTATTATACATATAACCGCAATAAGAGTTAGGAATTTAAGAACAGGTTGATACGCTTTGAAATTATGATCCGTTCGAGGACTCCGGCAGGCGGAAGTTGCCGCGGTTATTTAATAACGCGCGATACCTGCGCCCGGCAAAGAAAATTTCCCGATGAATAATTCACGGGACGCTAAACGTTCTCGATAGGGGCGAGGGCGGGGAGGGGCAGACTCTGAGAATCCGTTCGACCGTGTTAACGTCGAACGAGTTCGGTCGAGGGGAGAATCCGTTCCGAATAAAGACGCCGGAAGGAATTGGCGTCATAAATTGATTTTAATCTCGCTTACGTCGCAGACTAACTAGGCGAACATCTGTGGAAGAACATCGAGTCTCTATGATTTACGTGATGGAACTCGCAGTGATAGATTTATGTCTCTCGTTAAGGTCGGACATCGATTAAGGGAAAGTGGGACGAAGGTACGTAGTGGCCAGGGAATTTCGGGGAGGAACGTGGGTCGAGAAAGTGCGAAACAAAGAGGCACGTTGAATTCATCGTCGTGATAAATCTTAAATGATTCGCCATCATTTTGAGATTAAGGTGTATAGGGAGAGCTTCGAGTAGAATCTAACGACCGTTATAGCATAGTGATTCCTCTGGGTTCGTCAGCGGAGGAATTCGCCCTTCTCGTTTAATCACGCGGCGATGGAGTTATGATCGAACGTAAAAAGTATATACAGAGTGTCCCAAAACTAGTGTAAGATATTGAAATGGGAGATTCCTGACGTAATTTTAAACAACATTGTCCTTAG